CAATGTTGGCAATATGGTGCCTTGGTACTCATCCATGCATTGTTTACTGGTGACAGTGAGCATTAGAACAGAACAGTATTATTGCAATGCTGCAGAGAATGCAAACTAAAAATGTGACCTTTGAAGGGAGGAGAAAAAAATATTAAGGAATGTCAATCCAAGGAGACATGAGGCCTGGAAGTCATGTTAGAAGCTACAAATATCACAGTCTATCTAAAGAATACTGAATTTGCCGAGATCCAAGTTTAGTCTTCATGTGACAAGCCTGTCTCATAAGACAGTAACACAAAAGTTACTCAGAAAAGATATAAACACATGCAACATAAAAAAATAGGGCAAACTTTTAAAAAGGCTTATTTATAAGGTGTACTATTTCCAACATTAAATGAAATAAAACTGGATTGCAAAACCTAAAGTTTGTGTGTGAGCAAATGCTAGTGTCAGAGACACTGAAGGTTTGTAACACTTCTCCGTTATTTTGCCACATAAAATCTAAGGTGGTAGTTGTGAAGGGTATTTGATCTTGAGACTGAACACTCAAACAAAAATGTAAAAATCTGTCATAAATATTCTTGTTTGTTTCCACTCTTTGGCTTCATGAATGTTTACCAAGGAAAATGAATTATTTGGTTAACATTAGGCATATAGGGAGCCATCCCACATACCCCTGAGGGGACTGTTTGTGACTCTGAAATAGTACAACATCCACCATCTCCACAGCACTCAAGGCAGCTGTCCCACCTATTCAGAGTGGGTTTTACCAGATGAAACTACTGCAAAAGATCTTTTAGAAAGGCTGTACCATACTTTTGATATTAATCTGCAAAGAAGTACAAATGACCCTTGAAGAACATAAGTTTGAACTCTGCAGGTCCACTGACATGTGGATTTTTTTCAGTAACTACTGTACAGTACTGTAAGTGTATTTTCTCTTCCTTATGATTTCCCTGATGTTTTCTTTTCTCTAGCTTACACTATTGTAACAATACAACATTTAATACAGATAATATACAAAATATGTGTTACTTGATTGTTATTGGTAGGGCTTATGGTCAATGGCAGGCAGTCACAGTTATTACAGAATTTTCGACTGTGTAGGGATTGGTGCCTCTAACCCCTGTGTTGTTCAAGGGTCCACTGTATTTTTATGGAACTATTTGGAGGAGGAATCAAACAAAGATCTGGTACTATCTATGCTTTCCAAAAGTTTGATTTAATGTATTGTTCTCATTTTTCTTTTTCTTTTTTTCTTTTTCAAAGATTTTTTAATATATTTATTTGGCAGAGAATAAGCGACACAGTGGGAGAGGGAACACAAGTAGGGGAGTGGGAGAGGGAGAAGCAGACTCCCCGCTGAGCAGGGAGCCCCATGCAGGGCTCTATCCCAGAACCCCGGGATCATGACCTGTGCTGAAGGCAGACACTTAACAACTCAGCCACCCAGGTGCCCCATGTTCTCATTTTTAAATAGTCAGATGAACACATGCCTTATAACCTGTTCTAGGGGCGCCTGGGTGGCTCAGTGGGTTAAAGCCTCTGCCTTCGGCTCAGGTCATGATCCCAGGGTCCTGGAATCGGGCCCCGCGTCGGGCTCTCTGCTCAGCAGGGAGCCTGCTTCCCCCTTCTCTCTCTGCCTGCCTCTCTGCCTACTTGTGACCTCTATCTGTCAAATAAATAAAAATAAAAATCTTAAACAAAACAAAACAAATAAAAAAACCTGTTCTAATTTGGGGACTTACCTAGCCTTTCCACTGAACACCTCCTGTCTACAACAGATTTTTCTTCACTCAGAATACCAGGACAATCTCTCCTGTACCTTCCTTGATTTGGTGGGGTTATTTCTAGTCATTTCATGGAACGAAGAGTTCTTTGAGACTGTCACTGTGTAAGGTAGTGATACAAACTCCCCACCAGAAGGCCCAAGGCTGTGTCTTTTAATCCTATGTGCATGTTAAAACCATAGTTCCCAGGGCCTATATTGATATCTGATATCCCATGGGCCTGACAGTGTTTCAGTTCCTCTTCCGATCTGACATCAAGGAATTGATTTCTTACAAACCCGATTAAGTATTAAGACATTTTTAAATTAGCATTTTTATGCTTTGGGAAGGGGATGCAATTAGGTCAGTTTACTTTGTTGTTGGAAAATATTTGTTCCAACTGATAGTATTATAGAAATTTAGAGCTAGGTATACTATTAGAGATTTTTTCTTCACTCAGTGAATTAAGATTTTGATTTATTTATAAATCACCAGGTACCAGATAAGTTGGCATTTGATAAAAATTACATTTTTTTCCCTATCCATTTAGATTCTAAAATCCCTAAGTAAGAGATCCAATTCAGTTTTATACTTAACAAACATCTCCAGTGTAGTGGGTTGTTGAATACAAAAAAAAGTATAAATTATGGTCTTTGACCTCAAGAAGCTCATATGTTAATATGGGTCTTAAATGTAAACAGATAATTACAAAATGATGTAGTAAGTCTATTATTAGAAGTATGAATGGAATGCTTTGGTAGTTGAGGCTTTTATTTATTTATTTATTTTAAAGATTTTATTTATTTATTTGACAGAGATCACAAGTAGGCAGAGAGGAAGGCAGAGAGAGGAGGAAGCAGGCCCCCGCCCAGCATTGACCCCGATTCGGGGCTGGATCCCAGGACCCTGGGATCATGACCTAAGCCAAAGGCAGAGGCTTTCACCCACTGAGCCACCCAGGCGCCCCAGTAGTTGAGGCTTTTAATGCATCATGGGGAAGACTGAGATGACTGGAGATGCTACTGGTGCTGGAGTATAAAGGATTTATAAATGTGTGTGTATGTATGTGTGTGTATCTGTGGGGCTGGTGGCGGTAGTAAGGGCATTCCAGATAGAGGGAAAGAGACTGCTAATGCCGGAAACAAACAGTGCTGATAGTGATAATGTAGGAGTCAGTGATGTACCCCAAGGACTTCTACTGTCATGAGTTGTATAGGTTTAGTGCAACAAATAGTTGTCAAGGTTAACTTTGTTCAAACTATCTGCCACCAACTACCATAACCAGCATGTAGACATGGCACTGATGATGTGCTCTTTCTTATTTTACTGTTGAGAATATTAAATATCCATAATTTGAATGGTTAAAAAACTCATTTAAAAAAGTAAGCCTTAAATATATTAAGTTTTAAGAAAGATCAAATGCAAAATCCTGATGGAGGTTGGCTACTATTATCTTCTCACGCAGCTCTCCCCAATACCCAGTTCTTCATCTTCCTCTACTGCCATACCAATCCATTCAAATCAAATCTTAACCCCTCATCCTCCTCTGCTTTCTCAGTAAGGCAAACTTAAAACTCAGAACCACTCGTTTCAAGTGATCATCAGTGCTGTATTAGGACTATGAAGTCAGGTAAGTAACCAAAGGTTAAAGGAAAGGACAGGAGGACTTAATATTTTTCTGATCATGGCAGATGATGACCTCAAAATACTATTAGGGAAACAGTGGTAAAATTTTCTTATTATTCTCACATTTTTCCCTTGTATATTATTTAGGGGCCACAGAATGCTATAATTACTAGTTATGTCACTGTTTTGTATCTAATAGATCTTTGACACATATCTGGTGAATGACTAAATATAATTCAATTAAGCAAAACAAGTAAGATGACACAGCCTCTGGGACAGCTTGAAATCCACATGCAAGAATGAGGTTGGATACTTAACTCACGTCATATATAAATAGTAAATCAAAGACCTTGGGAGGGATTAATGGGGAATGACTGCTAATAATTATAGGATTCTTTTTTTGGAGAATAAAAATGTTCTGGAATTAGACAGTAGTGATGATTGCACTATTTTCTGAATATACTAAAAACCACTGAATTGTATGTTTTAAAAGAATAAATTTTATGGTATGTAAATTGTATCTCAATAAAAAAGTAGATGCAAAAAACCAAAACAAATAGCAACAATAAAACCACAGCCAGATAGTTGAATTGAGGCTCTTATTGAAATGTTCTACACCTTGGTGGTTCCTAACACTGAAGAGAAATACAAGTTAAAGAGGAAAACAACAACAATAACACTGTTCAGTTAAAATCGAAGATAATCAAGAAAGGTACTATAGTCCAATAATTCTAAGATATGTTATCTTTTCACATTTCTGAAATGGGAATGCATCTTATGATTGATGGTATGTCCAGTTGATTTGGTTGCATTGTTGTGATATGTGTTAGATTCAATGAAGTTCAGTAGTTACTTTTTAGAATAATGCAGAAGCTGCTAGTTATCCTACAATATGTGTTCTACTCCCCCATCAGTATAATAAATTTTAATAATCTTAATAATAATGTTTCAAGAATTTTTTAAATAATTAAAACTTAAATTTTTTTTTTTTTTGCCTGGGTAAATGACCTCCCAGCCAAAGATTATATTTCGTTTTCCTTATAGTTAGGTGTGGCCACATGTCTAAGTTCTGGCTGATGGGTATAAGCAGAAGTAACATGTGCAACTTCTGGTTTGTGCACTTAAAGAGAAAGAGCATTCCTTCTCTGCTTTCTTATTTGCTCCCTCCCTATTTCTTTCTCTCCCCAACCTCCCCCTCCTCCTTCGTTCCTGCCCTTCTAAATGGCATAAATGGTGTGAGCTGAGCAGCCATCTTGATCCACGAGCTAGAAACCATGTATTGAGGGTGATAAAGGAATGTGAAGATACCTTAGTTCTTGATGATTATGAAAACAGCATACTAGCTCTAGACCTATTATGCAGCCTTTTATGTGAGAAATACAGTTCTACTTTGTGTAAGTCACTCTTATTTTGGATTTCTCTGCCACAGGAGCTGAACAAATGTTCTAATGTGAATGGTTTCTGACTTTCATTTCCCTGGAAGTAAATTGTAAATTATTATTACTTTTTTCAGTGGGCTAGATTCTTCTAAACAAACCACATACACACACACACACACACACACACACACACACACACACACTCTGTCTGGGCCAAAAATGAGTTGCCAAATATAGCATTTACTTATAAGGAATATATTGCGAATAGCTTTTTACTTTTCACTATCATGGAAAGATTATTCCACCCCCATTCAGTCTATGTTTCTAAACAATACCTTTGTTAGGACTGTCTGGTCAGTGCAGTTGGAGACAACTTTTCAGTGCAACTGAGATTTCTTGATAATGCTAAATCTGCCTTGTCAGCTGAATTCCTCTGGCTTTGTGTTGCACTGTGGTAAAAATACATGATCAGATTTCACTGTTAAGGACATTCTTTCAGCAATACATGTACAGTCAAGTTTGTGCCTGAATAGCTGAACATGTGAGTTATGAGATTTAAAAAAAAAATGTTTTGTGATAAAACTTTATGGAAATGCAACAATCTGGAAGTCTAGCTCTGTCTTCGAGTAGCGAGGCCATGAAGAGTTGGGCAATTGGGAGCTGATACCACTCTGTCCTTTTCATAGTCACAGTCTTGGTTCTTCATATTTGAGGAGATGGGACAGTGAGGAGGCCTGTTGGCTTGATCTTATTAATTCCACCATCTAGAATGCAGATTCTTGGATATTTCATCTTCACAAGATGTGCTGCAAACTGAAAAAAAAAGGGGGGGGGCCAAATTTATAGAGGATATACAAAATCTGTATTTCTCCAATCCCATTTTTTTCCCCTCAAGCTGTGAAAGATAAAACTTCTTTAATAATACTATTATTATCATTGTTCTATCAGTGAATCACTATTTTGGGTTTTCAATATAAATCAAATCACCATTTAACATGTTGACAAGTTCTTTACACTATAGAATAAATGTGTCTCTTTAGTTCTCTTTTAAGCTTGTTGTAAGAGGCAATAAATATACATGGTATGCGTAATTTTTGAATATATATTATATATATAATATTTTATAATATAAAATATATAATATTTGAATGTAATATTCAAATAGTACAAAAAGTATATAGTGAGATATAAATTCCTCCTACCTCTCCTCTCAGTTTCCCTCTCCAGAGATCATTACTATTTTTCATGTATCTTTCCAGTGATAGTTAAAACATTCTCAAATCTATATTGAACAATTTTTGATATTACTGTCCCTTTATTAGTTGTTGCAATTCTCGTGTAATGTCCCAGAAAGGGCCATAAACTTGTTGTAACATGTTTCTGGAGCAACTATAATGAACAGTTTGAGACCATAAACTTGGAATGAATTTGAAGGATTCCAAGAGGTCATCCAAGGACATCCAAGAGGTCTTCTGGATGGTTAGCAAAATAGGACTTTGAAAAGTTAACAAGACATACATATATCTTCCTGACTTGGCCCATGTCTACCTATCTAGGATCATTGGTTATCTTTCTCTATTCCTTTGACCTTATGATAAAGCAGTCCTGAACTGCTTGTCAATCCCAACATAAATGAGGTCACTTTAGGATGCAGAGCATTTTGGTTGTGCAGGTTGCCCTTTGTTGGGAACATGTACTATTTCCCACCAGCTCCTGGATAGCCTTTAGTTCCTCCTCAAAAGGCCCCCCCCCACCATCCCCACCTGCCTAATTTCTATTTATTTCCCTACTCATGCAATTTCTTCCCTACAGGCTAAGTCTCCATTACAAACCTCTCTTCTTAGCCTGTAAAATTCCTTGGGCTAAATCTCTGCCTTTTGCTTACCATCTTATTTAAATTTAAGACCCTGCTTCCCTAGGACAGTGAGACTGTTCTCTTTCTTTTTATCCCTAGTGCCTGGCACATGACAGGGGCTCAATATATGCTTGTTGGACTAAACTAAACCAAGACATAGGACATACAACCTAGGACAAAAGGATGAAGGAAAGAAGGGTTTTCTTGGACTCTGGCATTCTATTTCTATTCCCTCCCCTTGGGGGTGTTTGTTCTCTTCCTTCTCCTTGGGTACTTGCGACCTCAAGTTCTTTTCAATTACTTTGTCAAACTTGATCTCCGGTCCTCCAGAAAAATGAATACCTCCTGATACCGCTATTGGGAGTGGGTGAAACTTAACAGCTGGTGAAGTCTCAAGCAAGCAGTCTACACTGCATGGTTCAAAAGCTGAATGTTTCGCTCAGGATAAGTTCAAGGCCTCAACCCCAGGGATTCTGCTTTATTGATCTAGGCTCAAGAAAGTGTTTTTTATTGTGGTGGTGGTAGTTGTTTTAAACAAACACCACTAGATGATCTTAAAGTGGGTAGTCTGAGGACAGTATTTTGGAACATACCACCTAGAGCCAACAAGATAAAGGTATCAGTAACTAGATGCAATAGACATTGCTGGACTGGGGTCTTTAACAATCCTCAAAATGACTCACAGAAATGGACCTTAATACTGCTGGCCCCACTGATCTTTTCCATCATTCTCTGCAGTGCCTTAATAGATTCAATGGCCATTTACATTTCAGAGCCAGTACTCTTTTAGCCACCTGGAAGTATCTTTAATAGTAATCAATGTTGAAGAAAGACAGTGCATCTGTATTTCAAAAGCTATCAAGTGAGATAGACTATTACTGTGAACTGGTCTTCATGCTGTTCTTGCTTGTTTCTCTTTGAACTTCAGTCCTTAACAGCAGAGGAGCTAGATTCATCTGCTCTGAGTCAAGCGCAGGCAGCACAGTCCCTGGTACCATATGATTACTGAAACATCTTTGCTTCATTCTCCCACATGTAGCAATACAATTAACACAGAAGCCAGAACTCTAAGATAAACTACCATTATTGAAAAAAATCTTGTGGATAAGCAGTCTTAGCATTGAGTACTTCAAAACACTGTAGAAGTCAGAAAGCAAGGAAGGAAGGACTTCCTACTGTACATTTAACTTAATCTCTCTGACACTATGCTGTAGAGCTAGAAAGAGTTCCCAAGATTATTTTAAGGAGGGACATAACAACTAGTCTGCCATTGAGCTGGAAATGGTGAAGGCAAAGCAAGCAGAATAGAGCACTTTGGAATAATTAGGGTGGTGCTATGTGGGAGGTCTAAGAAGAAAAGTAGAAGCACAATACAAGGAGATGGCAAATGTTTTGGTGCCTTGAAAAGCAAGGCTGTGCTTAAGTAAAGACAAAGAGCCAATGTTGAGTTTTCAGTTTAGGATTTTGAGTTCTGCTCTGCTTGTGGTTGCAAGTACCCATGTTAAATAGGGGGCCTAACAGTGAAGGCATGACTGGATCTTTTCCACTCCTACCATGGCAGCGTTTTCTCTTCATTCATTCATTCATTGATCATACATTTTAGTGAGTACTTACTGAGTACCATGCACTGTTCCAGTTTTTGGAGTGCTTATAGATCAGTGGAGGAGATAGGAACGAATAACCTCAAGTAGTAGGCGATTATACAAGTAGAAGTTTGGGGTACCTCTGAATTTAACAGGGGTTAAAGGAAGCTGATCCTCCCTCCCATCCCTCTTTTATTGACTCCTGAAGGGAGTGGGAACCCAGATGCGATGGCTACAATTGTGTTCTCTGTGGCCATAGCCTGACAGGTTAGGGAGGGAGGAAAGGGCTGTGAATGTCCGGGGTGGTTTCCATGTGAAAAAAGCCATATCACTCATGGAGAAGACAGGTGGTGGAGCACAGGAGAACCAGGCACGTAGAGTTCTGGGTTTCATCCATCTTTCACTCTTCATCTGGCAGGGCTTTGGCAGCTTTAGGGTGTTAACATACAGGGTACTGGACTTTGGTGATTAAGAATCTAGAGTAGGGGCACCTGGGTGGCTCAGTGGGATAAAGCCTCTGCCTTCGGCTCAGGCCATGATCTCAGGGTCCTAGGATCGAGCCCCGCATCAGGCTCTCTGCTTAGCAGGGAGCCTGCTTCCCCCTCTCTCTGCCTACCTCTCTGCCTACTTGTGATCTCTCTCTCTCTCTCTGTCAAACAAATAAATAAAATCTCTTAAAAAAAAAAAAAAGAATCTAGAGTAGCCTGTAGCTGCAGCTTTGGGAGAGGCCGGACTTCAAACAGAAGTCACAAACCTAGACTCACTGAGCAATATCCTTGGCAGAAGTGGCAGGATGTCATATCGGACCAGTGGTTATGGAGCTGTCAGACTCATCTGGGTGCTTTTTTAGTCAACAATGATACCCAGACCCACTCCAGATCAGTAATCAGTAGAATTTTTTTTGGGCTATCGCCCCAACATCAGGTTCTTTATCTGCTTGTTTTGAAGTTTTCTGGGTTATTCTATTGTGTAGCCAGCATTGAGAATAATTTTACTAGATAATGGGATTCATTTGCTGGTGAGGTTTGTTTGAGACCTCAAGCTGCAATTTTAGTAAGTATAGTCCCATGTGGAGAGCAAGTCACCTTGCGCTAAAGAGGCTGGCATGTTTGGAGGGCTGGAATTTGTGAGACCAAGTCCTACGTGTAGAGAATGGGGTTCTTCCAACTGCACAACCAGCTGAGATCTATAGGTCAACATCCCATGTGGAGCTGGTAGGATCTGATATTTGCTGGGATAGGATTTTGAGACTCAGAGATGGCAGGGACACTGCATTTTTTGTGGGAAGTACTCCCATGTGGAAAAGGCAAAGCTCTTGCATTTTTGTCATTCTTCTGGGTAGGAGAATCTGGCTGTTCTTTTCATTTCTAGGGCTTAGGTAGACATACCTCAAAAGAGCACTGTCTGAAAGTGGCAGGCTCTTGTGGGTGGCACTCCTTTTTGTTTTTCTCTGTCTTTTATCTTAACTTGGATTAAGAGGCTGGCATGTTTGTCCAGTGGAAGTCAATATCTGTTATAGGAGGAGAATGAGTGGAGGAAAGGGATATTTTGATCTGCCACAGAGTGGTATAGCATAACTAAGGCCAAGAAATTAAGGCTGAGTATGGGTAAGATTTAAGAGAAGCAGAGAACAGGATCATGTTGTTTCTCACTGGGTGTCCCGGGTCACAGGCTTGGGTAGAACCCACAGTAAGCTAAGAAAATTTGGCTTCTGCAAGATTCTGAAAGGAGCACATTGCAGGACAATTAAATTTCTTGATGGGAAACTTTGGCCTCGTGAGTTTTAAGTTTGTATTGGGAACTGGACAATTACCATGAACTAACTAACACTCTGGTGAAACTCAAACGGAGGTCCTTTTCTCTCTTCCATTTTATTTGTCCATTCCTTTCCCTCCAAATATTGCTAAACTTGGGACATGGATATATTACTTTTGGTTGGACACAGAACTGAATAAGGGAACTGGCAAATTATCCTGTAATGAATAGCTGTAGTAATTTTATTTTCTTGGTTTTATGGTTGTGAGGCTGATGTTCTATTAGTCCTATATATCCTCTTGAGCTCCTGCAATTCTGAAAATATGGTGTCCATTTAATATTTCTGGCACTATGTGGTTGGGGCTGGACTGGTACCTCACACAAATTATGTACCTATTTCTAAGTTTGGCTGGACAACTCTATAAGTGTGGGATGAGATAAGATGAGAAAGAGAATATGGGATTATTTCCACATCTAGAGTACAGTGTGGCCTTGGGTTAAAAATAACCCAAGTGCTGTCTTGTCCTGATTATTTTAGAAATTCTGAGGTCATTAATAAATTCTGAGGTCTTGATCACTTGAAGGGGTCATCTCAGTACTCCCAATTAGAAACATGAGAG